GTGGACAGCAGGACAGAGCTGACCCTGTTGGTCCAGGTGAAGGCAAGCTAGGCCCTGAGGGCGTGAGAGTGAGAGACCTGACCTGGGCCCTCATCTGCCACAGAGTGGTGTGATTGAGGGGAAGATGCCCCCCACCCCCTACACACTCCTCATCGCCTGTGGCAGCCGGGAGAGCTGGCCCTGCGCCTCGCTTGGGAGGCACAGCAGAGCTGACCCTGTTGACAGGGGTGCGGGTGAGGGGGTCATGAACGATCTGGTCCCATCCCTCATCTACCATATTGCGGCATGGGTGAGGGGGAGGAGACCCCCACAGCACCACCTGTTGTAGGTGGGAGAGTTGTCCCTGCGGCCATGAGAACAAGAGAGCTGGCCCTGCCTCTCACCAGCCGTAGCCCACCCGGCAGAGTGACCCCTGTGTGCCTGGGCAGCAGAGCAGACGAGGTATAGGTGTAGGTGAGCTGACCCCAAGGGCTTGAAAGCAGTAGAATCGGCCCTGCTCCCTGCTGCTTCCTGCATAGGGACAGCGAGCCTGAGCTGTACTGGAGAGCTCACCCTGGTGTGGAGGATGAGGAAGAGATGTTGGGATGACCAATCGTGCAAACACCCCCAGGCCCAGAACCAGACCGCCCCTGCATCCACCCCATCTGTGATCTGCTGGGGCCTGTGAAGGGGCCTGGCCTGCAGTCCAAAGCTACAGGATCTCCATGACACAGGATAACAACAGGATGTCCAAGAGGAGCTCTGCTAAGGATTCAGCATCGAAAGTGTAGCAGAGACCAGCAGCCTGGAACCAGACCAACGACCCCTTACAACGAACACTTTCGAGTAAGATGTATGGACTAAAGGGTATACTGTGTGACTCCCCGTGTCACATTGCAGCTTCCACAGTGAGATTTTTCTTTTCTTCTTTTACATTTTATTTTGTCTTGGGGTGGGTATCAAGGACAGAGGGCAGACATGAAGGGACAGGAGTTGACTGGGATGAAGGTCCATGGTGTGAAATCCACAAAGAATCAATAAAAAGTGAAATTAAAGGAAAAAAGATATTGAGCCGGGCACTGCGGTGCGAGCCTCTAATCCCAGTGCTTGGGAGGCAGAGGCAGGCAGATATCTAAGTTTGAGGCCAGCCTGGTCTACACGGAGAGCACCTGGACAGCCAGGACTACAAGCTGTCTCAAAATAAAGTTTTCTTTTAATATATCGAGTATCAGACACTCATAAAGCAGGAAACAAAAGGGACTATAAAAATCATTCTTTGATCCCACATTTCACAAGAAAAACTGAGACTTAACTGTGGTTGGTGTTCAGTAGGCATGCCTGGGCTTTTTCTTTGGAGGGGGCCTTGAGAAGTGACCAACAGCTGGACCTCTGTTAGTGACAGCATAACACCAATCCTGTCAGCAAATACATACCGAATGCCTGACACTGTAATTTTACTCCTCAAATTGCAGTCATTTAGGAAGAGCTGACATTCTGGCAATTTTCCACGTCTGACTTGTAGAAAATGCAATTGAATTGATTTAAGAAATCATTGCAAACCAAGTATTAACAGAAAACAGCCCGAGGAGGTGCTAACAAGAGAGCGGATGGCTCTGTGACTCTCAGAAAGCAATGTCTGGTCCATTCATACTCAAATTATGAGTGACAGCTCTGAGGAGGATATTGTCTTTATTATATTTATTTTATTTTGTGTGAGCATTTTGCTTGCATGTATGTCTATGCACCATACTCATACCTGGTGCCCCACGGTCAGAAGAGGGCATCTGATTCCCTGGGCCTGCAGTCGCAGACAGCTGGGAGCTGCCTTGTGGGTGCTGGGAACTGAATCCGGTTCTTCCACAAGAGTAGCCAGTGCTCTTAGCCATGAAGCCAACTCTCCAGCCCGTATTATTTTGTATTCTTCAATCACTCACTCTATTCATTTTTCTCTTTACTGAGGTAAATTGTTGAAGAGCATGCGTTTGCCATTATTTCCAGCTTGAGTTCCATGATTTTATAATGTATGAACCTGGCCAAGTTGCATAATCCCTTTGAAACCAGTTCCCTCCCATCTGAAAACTCCACCATGAAAGTAACCTGCTCATATGAAACACAATGGGGGTAGAGCTTTGAGCACATTTATTGACAACAGCCAATGCTGTTAGAACTAGTGTGATACCATTATTCTTTTTTTCCTTTTTAAATTAGAAACAATCTCATTTTATATATCAATCCTACTCCCTCCCCCTCACATTCTTCCATGCCCCTCACCAGCCCCCATCCCATCCCTCTTCTGCTCCATAGAAAGAGTGAGGCCTTCTATGAGGGGTCATCAAAGTCTGACACATCATTTGGAGCGGGTCTAGGTCCTTCCCCCCCCCCGTGTGTGTGTAGGCTAAGAGTATCCCTCTCTGGGAAATGGGCTCCTAATGTCCTTTTGTACACTAAGTATAAATGCAGTTCCATTACCAGGGACCCCACAGACTGCCCAGGCCTCCTAACCGACACCCACACACGGTGGGCCTGGATCAGTCCTATGCTGGTTTCCCAGATGTCAGTCTGGGGTCCATGAGCTCCCCCTTGTTCAGGTCAGCTGTTTCTGTCGGTTTCCCCAGCCTGGTCTTGACCCCTTTGCTCATCACTCCTCCCTCTCTATAACTGGATTCCAGGAGTTCAGTTCAGTGTTTACCTGTGGTCTCTGCCTCTGCTTCCATCAGCCACTGGATGGAGGCTCTAGGATGGCATCTAAGATAGTCATCAATCTCATTATAGGGGAAGGGTATTTAAGATAGCCTCTTTCCTATTGCTTACCTTCTTAGCTGGAGTTATCCTAGCATATCTTTGGACATTTCCCTAGTGCCAGATTTCTCTTTACACCTGCAATGGCTTCCTCTATTAAGGTAGCTCTTTTCTTGCTCTACTCTGTCCTTCCCCCAACTCAATCTTCCTGGTCCCTCATGTTTTCCTCCCCCTTCTTTTCTCCCCTTCTCTTTCTCCTAACTCACTCTCCCCTCCTCCCATGCTCCCAATTTGCTCAGGAGATCTTGTCCCTTTCTCCTTCTCCAGGGAACCATGTATGTCTCTCTTAGGGTCCTCTTTGTTTCCTAGCCTCTCTGGAAGTGTGGATTGTAGGCTGGTAATACTTTTCTCTATGTTTAAAATCCATATATGAGTGAGTACATACCATGTTTGTCTTTTTGTGACTGGGTTACCTCACTCAGTATGGTTTCTTCTAGTGCCTTCCATTTGCCTGCAAATTTCAAGATTCCATTTTTTTCTGCTGAATAGTACTCCATTATGTAAATGTACCACATTTTCTCTATCCACTCTTCAGTTGAGGGGCATTTTGGTTGCTTCTAGGTTCTGGCTATTACAAATAATGCTGCTTTGAACGTAGCAGAACAGACATCCTTGTTATATGAATGGGCATCTTTTGGGTATATGCCTAAGAGTGGAATTGCTGGGTCTTGTGGTAGACTGATTTCCATTTTCCTGAGGAATCTCCATACTGATTTCCAAAGTGGCTGTACAAGTGTTCGTACATATGTGGGTTAATACAACGTTTTCAATTTGATTCCATTGGTCTACCTGTCTATTTTTGTGCCAATACCAAAATGTTTCAGGACTGTAGCTCTAAAATAGAGCTTGAAATCAGGAATGGTGATCCCTCCGGAAGTTCCTTTATTGTACAGGGTTGTTTTGGCTATCCTGGGTCTTTTGCTTTTCCATATAAAGTTGAGTATTGTTCTTTCAAGGTCTGTGAAGAATTGTGCCAGTATTTTGATGGGGATTACACTGAATCTGTAGATTGCTTTGGGGCAAGATTGCCATTTTTACTATGTTGATCCTACCTATCCAAGAGCATGGGAGATTTTTCCGTTTTCTGGTATCTTCTTTAATTTCTTTCTTTAGAAACTCAAAATTCTTGTTGTAAGGTCTTTCACTTGTTTGGTTAACATTACCCCAAGATATTTTATGTTTGTGGCTATTGTAAAGGGTGATGTTTCTCTGATTTCTTTCTCAGCTCATTTGTGATACCATTATTCTTAACTTTGCCAACCGAGCAGATGCATGTACAACAATCTTAGATGATTAGGACAATAACTTGGGGCCTGTCACAGGACACTTAATCATTCCACCAATTTTGGTTCGTTAAGTGACTAGGGTTTTCTGACAAACCACACACAACGCTGGGATCTGGAACATCATCTCCTACTGGGAGACTAAAAAATTGTTGTTAGGTTTCCTTTTGGGTCTCCAATCAGAGTGTATCCTCACCCTAATATTATCATTCATTCTACGTGTTCCATGGAGTCTGAAAAATAGATACTTCTCCTTGGCACACCTTTCTTTTATTTTATTTTTAGTTTTCAGTTTTTCAAAGACAAGGTTTCTCTGTGTATCCCTGGCTGTCCTGGAACTCACTCTGTAGACCAGGCTGGCTTCAAACTCAGAGGAGCTCCTGCCTCTGCCTCCCAAATTCTGGGACTAAATGCGTGTGCCACCGCCGCCACCACACACTCTCTTGACGCCCACTTCTGACATTATTTCTCACCATTTTGAATAGTGAGTGACCTGTAGGTATAACTTCTGAGAAGAAGCGCAGAGGACACCATACTCTCTCTTCCCAGGGGAAAGAGGGCTCAGGCTTACTATTCTAAGGAACAGACTCTCCTGCCACCATTAACCACAGCAGGCAGCTCCCAGGACACGACACTGCTGAAGTTGTATCCCAGTGTAACTGTGTCTCTTAAAAGCATTTTTCTTCCTGGCACTGTCATCTTGCTCCACTGGGGACGTGGTAATTCTGCATTCCCTTCCAGGACCTCACCGGAGACTCCTGGGGCAGTCTGCTTTCATTAGCTTTTACTTCTGGTGGCACGAAGCTAGGTTTGAGAAATAAAGATTCCGTTGTTTAACCTAGTTGCACAAACCATTCTAGGCACAACTGTCCCAGGTTATACAGAAATCTTGAGGGAGAATTTTGAATAGTTTTAAGCAACAAAACAAAACAAAAACAATTTGGTGAATTCAACAGCGTGTTTCTTTTTAACTGATGAGACCGTGATGTAGTTTAGACAGTATGCAGACGGTAGCTACTTATTTCAAAGACATCTTGTGAATTAGCTTTAAGTTTCTGAGGTGATCCTGTGTCTCCTTTTGTCAAGGATGCTCATGCAGGACAAGTTCTTCCTCTCTGCTGGGAGAAACCACTGGCTGCTTTTCCATGGGCCCCAACCTCAGAGATCCCAGAGGGACCAGAGTCTGAAGGATACGAGAAAAAGAGGTCAATTGTGGAATAGACAAGCGGGTTCAGGATCAGGGCATATGCATGAGCCCCCAGGTAGGCATCAGAGGGAGGGTTGAGAGATGCTCTGATTCCACCCCCACCTCCCCACCAGCCCCCCCACCCCCACCAGCCTAAGATTTATGATGTCTGAAATTACTTCTAACTGAGATAATTCTGAGACTTCTGGTTGCAAGGATTTTATGGTTGTTATGATTTTTTGTTTGGTTGGTTTTGGTTTTTCAAGACAGAGTTCTTTGTGTTGCTTTGGGGGCTGTCCACCTGCCTCTGCCTCCTGAGTTCTGGGATTAAAGGTGTGCTCCTGACTGGTTGTTGTTTTTTAAGAAATACAGATTAGAACACTTTTCAAATGTAATGCAAGTTCTTTTAATGCAATTGTTTGAGTTCTACCTGAAGTATTGTTTTACTTTGGAATCATCTGTGGTGATATTTTGTTTGTGCTTTAACAAATGAAGCTTGCCTGAAGATCAGAGTAAGGAGCTAGCCACTAGTTAGCCATAGAGGCCAGGCAGTGGTGGTACACACTTTTAATACCAGCATTCGAGAGACAGGAGGATCTCTGTGAGTTCAAGATCATCCTGGGCTACACGAAATTGATCCAATGTAAAAGAGAAAGGAAGGAAGGGAGGGAGGGAGGAAAAGAAGGAGGGAGGGAAGGAGGGAGGGAGAGGGAGAGAGAGAGAGAGAGAAAGGAAATTTAGAGAAAATTAGGATTTATTCTAGTTTACAATTCCAAGCTACAGTCCATTGTTGTGGGGAAGTCAAGACCAAAAGCTCCAACAGCAAGTCACATCACATCTACAGCAAAGAGAAATGAACACATACTTGCTTGCTTGCTTACTTGCTTACTTGCACTCAGTTTGATTTCTCTGCTCTTACACAATTTGAGATCCTTTGCCTAGGGGATGGTACCTCCCACAGTGGGCTAGATCTTTCCATACCAATTAGCTTAATTTATACAATTCTTCACAGATATGCCCTCAGCCTAAACCTAATGCATATAATCCCTCATTGAGACTCTCCAGGCGACAGTACATTGTGTAAGATCTACAAAACTAAGCATCCCAGCAGATAAATACTGGTCCACCAGAACCTTGCTTCTCTTGACCTACCTCTGTATCAGGGTGGGCACGTGTAGCTTCCCCAGAGCTACTGTTGAGAGCCACCCTCATTCTTATTGATATATTCATCCTTTGGACTTCCACCATGCTTCTAATTTTCAGAGCACTTCTTGGCTGCCCCTTGTTAATTTTAATCTCAGCTGTCTACCCTGTCCCTTGGAGGCTGACGACCCTTAAGATTCTGGTCCTAGCACTATTCTTCCCTCTATAATCTATTTTGAGAGGCATTCTAGAATAACAGTGAAAAGTGAAGACACAAGAACTGCACTGATCCTGTTGTTTTCTGACTGGGAAACTTATCTAACTTCTCTGATACGTCCTCACATGCTAAGATATGCTGTAACAGAAGCCATTTCTGAGGGTCATAAACAGGGGAGCTATATTCTCACATGCAATGAGTGTACCACAAAACATAGTAAGCTTTAGGCAGCACAACCATCACTCCAGCTTTCAATTAGTTGAAAACTCTACAAGTCATATATTTGACATTTAGTTGGTTATTAGTAAACTTTAATTCTCTGGCCAGACTTTTTCCTGAGCCCCAGGTCTGTCCAACCACCAATTAAACATTCCCAAATGCTCCTTAACTCAACATTTACCAAGTAACTAATTTCTGTCTTCCCACTCCTGCTTTAGCCAAAACTCTTGTATTTGTTTTCCTGTTTGAATAACAGCTCTCCCTTTTGGATTCTTTTTCCAGATAAATGACAGCACAATTCAGCAAAGCCCAAGCCTTTGAAAGCTAAATGTTCTCTTCTTCAACTAGCCCTGTCTTAAACATAACATAATCGCTAACTGAGTGATTCAGTTTCCCCTTTATTGCTAATTCAGTTTTATCTGTTTTCTCTTATGGATTACTGCTACAGTTCTGTTCCCCAACAGACACAATTACATTCTCCCAGGAAAAGAATCTCAGTTGGGAATTGTCTACATAGGGTTGGACTGTGGGCATATGTGCGTATAATTATCTTTGGTTACTTGATGTAAGAAGACACAGTCTACCTTGGGTGGCACCATTCCCTAGGCAGAGGGTCTTGAACTATTCAAGAGTGGAGAAACCAAGTTGAACACAAGCAAGCAACCAAATGAGCACGTGTGTGCCCTTTCTTTCTGTTCTGGACTGTGGATGTGATGTGACCGCCTGTTTGAGGTTCCTGCTGCCTTGACTGTTCTTATGGACTGAATCCACAACTGGTGACTGAAAAGAACCCTTCTTCTCCTGAGGTGATTTTTGTCAGGGCAGTTCATCCCAACAACAGAAAGTAACTAGAGCATGATATTTGTTATTGGAGGTATTTCGATCACTTATGCCTTCCCATCCCTGTAATTTCATTTCCAAGACCTCTGGTTTCAGTCATACAAAGTTACTTGTCATACCCAAAGTTGTTGCTCTATCCTTCACCATCGTGCTTTTGTTAAGATTACCTTGTGGTGATACATTGTTTATGATCTAATAAAGCCACTGAAGATCAGAAAAGCAAAGCAGCCATGACACTTGCTCTTACCTCTCCCACAGGCTGAAAGTGGTGATCCTGTCTCCACAAGCTCTCACCAAGCCTCAGACTGCTGTGTCTCCTCAACGTGGCTGGAGAATCCATCTCCACATGAGACCCTTTGCTATTTATACCTCCCTAATGCTGGGATTAAAGGCGTGTGACTCCAAGGGCTGAGATCATCTTCGTGTGAGCTATTTATCTTTAGATCTACATAAATTTCGTGTAGTTCAGTGTGGCCTTGAACTAACAGAGATCCATCTACCTCTACCTCCCAAGTGGTGGGATTAAAAGTGTGTGCCAACACCACCTGGCTTCTATAGTTTAGTGAGGCTGGCTTTGCAAACTGATCTCGTTTGTTAGATCATAAATAATATATCAGCACATAACCTGGGATGACCTTTCCTCTGTTCTCTTCCCACATAATGCCTATTTTGCTATAGTGTTTCTAGTTCCTAACACTGCTCCTGATTGAGTTTAAAAGGCCTAAATGAGAGTTGAGTGTGGTGGTATGTGCCTGCAATCCCAGTACTCAGGAGACAGGCAGGAGTATCACTGCCAAGTTGAGGCAAGTTTGAGGCAGTGTGGTCTACATAGTAAGGTCAAGACCAACCAGGGCATACACACAGTGAGACCCTATCTCAACAAACAAACTAACCAAAAGATAGTTAAATAGAGGTTAGAATGTCTAGAATTTTACTGTTTGTTCAAAATATGGTCAATTCCGTGTGTGTGTGTGTGTGTGTGTGTGTTTTCTGAGACCCAAAATAATTTTCTGTTGATTTATTTATCTTTGCTTTCATCAAATGGGTAAATGGTGGAAGAATGAACCATGAATCTGAAAATATCTTTTATTAAAATGTCATGAGTTATATAAATGTTGAGGGACACCGTGAAGGATCAAAAAAGAGCCCCCTCACCTTTTTTCCTAGGGGACACATCCTCTGCCTCTTCTCTTTTCCTCCCTCCACCCACCCCCAAACTTCTCTTACAGTAAAAGCCACTCTGTGTTCTGTTTAAATCCCCAAGGTTTCAAATTTTATTGCCCAAGACTCTGCACCACTGAGGTTCTTGTATAGACTAGTTATTTCCCTCTGTGAAGAAACTGTTTAGTTCATTCTGCTTTGGAAGAGTCCAAGAGAGGCAGTTCTTGTCTCTTTCCACTCCCTGTCTCCCCTCCTTTCTGGCTAGAGCAGAGACTGTCAATCTCAGGCAGGGACAAGGCAGACAGAGGTCCATTTGTAAGGAACCTCCTCCCACTGCCTCCCCTCTCCTCCTTCGCCCAGACTACCCAGGCAGCTGGAGCACTCAAGAAGGTCTTTCTGCCAATAAGACTGAAAAGAAAGAAAAGGTATGGATTTTTCTCTATGCAAATGTTTTGCATCATTTATTCTCTCTTAAACTGCTGCTGTAGGCTGGAGCAGAAACATATGCATGTGCTAAATAGATGGGAAAGACATGGAGACTGAGAAGTTCTCCAAGGAAATGGTGCATGCACTTGCAAAGAGATGGGTCCCGAGATAAGGCAAAAGAATCTGATCCAAACAGGGAAGCAAATGAGGGTCCTTGACTGGGAAAGTCATTTGACCAAATGTTCAGGAAGAGATGGATTGCTTATGGTCTTTCATTTAATGTGCAAATTGACTCTATCCCCCCTGCCCCTCAGAACTTATGTGTGGGTGTTGAAGTATGTAAGATTTGCTCTGTCGGTTCTCTACATGAAGCTAATTGCAATGTCAAAGAAAGCAAGCAGTTTTGCTTTTAGAAACTATGGTTCCTGAAAAGAAACTGGTAGCAACGTGTGACACAAAGAGGGAATTCACTGACTGCATCCTTGGTGTTCTCACCATGGAACACAGCACTGAGTCTGTGCTGGCTGAGATGAAGAGACTCTCCCTTCAGGACTTAGAAAAACACCTCTGTAAGATTTCTTGACTCAGTTACTTGCACAGGCTGTGGCAAGCTTTCCCACTGTTGGTCCTTTTCTCCTCTGATGAGTTATTGTGGTCAGAAAAAAATTAAAATGATGCAAGATTGGGCACTAACATCATCAGCTTGTAGCATGCTCTGAGAAGCCCAAAGGCAGATCTCCTTTGGTGATTATGTAGACTGCTTTGCCAAGAGTGAAGGCATCTTCAGGGTCTAGGCTGCCACGTGTGGTACAAGAATTTTGGAAAGGCTTATCCATTTCTGTACCATTCCTGTTCCTTTGCATATGCTTTTGAGATATTTCACTTCAGACTGTCCTAGCAGAACCTACCTCTAAGACAGACGATAACAAAAGGTGAGCATTTTAAAAATTGTCTGTTGTTGTTATTGTTTTCAGTGTCCAAGAGAGCACAACTAAAACAACGATTTTAATAACTCCCAACTATGGTTTAGGAATTTCAAGTGTCAAACATTGGGGACGGGGGTTGTCCATGGTTTCGCAGACTTGCTTCTCTCTTGTAGGTTGTTGACAGACATCTGAAATGGGCTGTTCTTTCAGCCTAATTCATCAGCTCTGTTTTATTCCACTGCTCTGAACACTGGTTCCCAGAACTGACATCAGCTGCCTGGATGAACACTGCACCACAACCATCCCAATACTTCAACTCCATCTCCCTGTTAGTTTTGGCCATTGAATGGTTTAGTTTTGCCTTTCACATCCTCGTTTAACTGCAGCCATTCAAAAGCTTGCCAAAACCTCTCACAGAACTAAACTTTGCAACTCCCAGATGGCAGTGCGATGGTTTAGTGCTTATGTGGAAATGCCTTCTTTGTAATTCTTCATCCACCGCAGTGATTTTTTTTTCTGATAAAGGGTATGATGGGTGTGTGTAAATTTCTAAGTATACCAATATTGGGATATAAGTGTTATCATACAACATTAGCAACAATACTAAGGTCATCAAATTGAGGGTTTTTTTGTTTTGTTTTGTTTTTTTGTAAACCAGTGCATAACCAATCTCAAAGGTTCTCCTGTCCCTTCAGAGCTACAGTCTTTCACTGGCCTTTCTTGCAAGTTGAATGTTCTCCAGGAAGAATTTTAAGTGTGTGTGCATGACTTAAAGAGGAAAAACTGGAGAGCAATTTCCTTCAAAATGACCAGTCTTCTCGCTTTGGCTGGCATTCGTAAAAAAATTAAGTTTTGATGGTTTTCCAAGAATAATGGTTGATATTTTTTGGTTTAAAAAAATGACAAATATACCCAGGGAACAAACCAGCCTGTACATTTTTCCATTTGTTATGAAGAATTAAAACTACTTATCTGGCCAGACGTTGGTGGCACACAACAGTACTCCAGGCAGATATCTGTGAGTTCTAAGCCAGCCTGGTCTACAGCCTGGTCTACAGAGCAAGCTCCAGGACAGGCTCCAAAGCCACAGAGAAACCCTGTCTCAAAAGACCAAAAAAAAAAAAAAAAAAAAAGAAAGGTACTTATCTAAGTAAGTGAGGAGAAGGCTTTAGTTACAACATGTAATTTATGAAGTGTTTTAAAAAATTAAAAAGAAGCCTACCATAGGTGCTAGCCAGGCATGGAAATTTCCATTGCTGTAGACTAAGCCTTGGCCAGAAACACTACTTTGTGCTCTGGCATAGACATGAGGGACATGGTATGGCAATATACCTGTTTTTCCAGAAACTTATTTGCTCATTCCTTAAGTAAATGTTTCCATTTTTTTCTGAGTCAAGATGCTGGAGTGATTTAAAAAATGTTCTTATGCTCAGTCCTTGCCTTCATGAGGCTGGCATCTCCTCTTCAAACCTCACACCACCTCAGAATGCCTCTCGCCTCTTCCTGGTCTACATTCTCTCCTTGTCAGGTGCATGGCTATCATGCTATCAATAAATATCCTTTTTACTCTCACATTTCTAGTCCTGACCTTGACTTTTTAAGATCATAGTGGGGTGCTTTGAAGGAAAATGGCTCCCAAAGGGAGTGGCACTATTAGAAGGTGTGCCTTTTTAGAGTAGATGTGGTCTTGTTGGAGGAAGTGTGTCACTATTGGGGTGAGCGTTGAGGTGTCCTATGGTCAAACTACTCCCAGTGAGACAGGCCGCTTCCTGTTGACTGCAAGATGAAGGACTCTCAGCTCCTTCTCCAGCACCATGTCTGCCTACCACAAAAATGGGCTGACCCTCTGAAAGTGTAAGCCAACCCAATTAAATGTTTTCCCTTACAAGAGTTGCTGTGGTCATGGTGTCTCTTCACAGCAATAGAAACCCTAAGACAGAGAAGTTTATAGTCATCCCAAATTTAATTATCGCCACAGTATTATTCTTGAAGTTCTATAAAATTCTAATCCCAGTACTCACGAGGCAGAGGCAGGCAGATCTCTGAGTAAGAGGCCAACCTGGTCTACAGACTGAATTTTGAGAAAGCCAGGGCTACCCAGAGAAGCCCTACCTTGAAAATGCAAACAAAATACAACACAACAAATACCACCAACAACAAAATTCCCTGTTTTTTTTCTCAAAAAGGTAGGGGTGTGTGTGTGTGTGTGTGTGTGTGTGTGTGTGTATTCTACATAGACATCCAAGGATAACTTATAGAAGCCAATTCTTTCTTTGTGTCAATATGTGGGTCCTGGGGATAAAACTCAGGTCAGGTCATCTGTCCCCATAGCACTTGATGGCAAGCGTTCTTACCCACTGACCCATCTCACCAGCCCCCATTTGCATCTTCAGAGAAGCTTTCTACGGTCTGTCACAATCATCCTCACAGCTAGCCCCCGAGTTCTGTGTTTCCAGAGCTCTCATGTTTAATTGTACGACAAGATCTGTGACTTCAACTAAGTGATGTCTTGTTATTATCAATACTCACTCACGCACTCACTCACTGTGTGAAGTTACTGGTAAAGCCTACCCTTATTGCCGGGCAATGGTGGTGCACGCCTTTAATCCCAGCACTCGGGAGGCAGAGGTAGGCGGATCCCTGTGAGTTCGAGGCCAGGCTGGACCAACAGCCTTGAAAACAATACAGAGAAACCCTGTCTCGAAAAACCAAAAAAAAAAAAAAAAAAAAAAAAAGCCTACCCTTATTATTTTCGCTTTCCTGAATTCATCTGGTATTCTTGGTTCTTCTAACAGTTCTTGTTATAAAGGAAACACTAAAAATGTTTGTCAGGTTAAACAAGATAAACTAGCTTGCTTCTCTTTTCCTTTCTCTGACACAGTTATTCAGGGACTATATTAATGTGACTTCTTCCCATTCTCAGTGTTGGCTGTACTTCCTGTGAACAACCTTGCTAGCTTGCTCTTGATCTGTCAGAATCTACAGTTACCCGACAAAGATATGAAGATCAGGTCTTGAAGAAAACAATCCTGGGTTACATTTCAGTGGCTATATTTCATCTAGAACAAAAAAGAAAACGATTATGCTAGAAGTAAAAAGAGCAGCCTGAATGGCTTATTGTGCAGACTTTAATGTTTCCTATTTATATTTTGGGATCCATCCAATTGCCACTAATCTTATGTGAGTGACAGGAACTGGAGGGACTATAGCCCAATCAAAGGAGGGCAATAGGCACAGCATTACTAGGATAATTCAGCCTAAGTACTGAAATTACTAAGGAGGAATACAGCTGATATTTAGGATCTGTAAGATGTGGGTATCCCCTTCACACCCCTCTAAAGATGGGTTCACACGGTGGGAGCACTGTAGAGTTTTTGTTTCTGCTCAATATGGAGTAACAGGAGCCAAATTTACCTGTTCTATAGAAACAATACAAAACAAAACAAAGTGTGTGTGCGCGCATGTGTGTGTGTGTGTGTATGAGTGTGTGTATATGTGTGTGTATGAGTGTGTGTATATGTGTGTGTATGAGTGTGTGTATATGTGTGTGTGTATGAGTGTGTGTGTGTGTGTGTGTGTGTGTGTGTCCGGATGTGAAACAAATATTTGTGGAGATAATGGAAGTTGAGTCAGGAAGGACACTGGTCCCTGAGACAAAAGAGAAGAGCCCTATCATGTTCCTCACTACTCCTGAAGACAGACCCTAGGCTGCAGCTCAGGGAAGGAAAACCCAGGGCCCGGAGCTGAGAGACAGGGACAGCATCCATGGTTTCAGTCTACATTTCTATTCCATCATCGCATGGCGGCTGGAGGTCATACGCCAGAATACCAAACTCACTAGTAAAATGTCCAAACACACCCCAAAAGGCAAGACCAAACCATGGAAACACAAGTGACAGTGATGTCACCAAGATGTCACACTGAGAGGACCTTGCTCTTCCTCACAGACACACCAATTTAACAGCAATCCTGGGTTAATTTCCTCTTTGTAAGAAATCCTGCAATCCACAGAGAGGCTCTTATACCCTCGGTGATGCACACCACATTAAAAAAAGACCCTGTAGGAAAGGTGGAGACACACACACTCTCACCACAGTCTCCACCCTAGCACAGTGTGATGTGCAGCCAGGAGGGAGGCCCCAGCTCAGCTTTTCCCCAAAGAGTAAAGTGTTAAGAGAAGCTTTTTCTTTGTGAAGGAGCCATCCCGACAGCCTGGTTCCAGAGCCGCTTTCCCGCCAGCCTGGTTCTAGAGCCGTATCAGTCCCAAATAAACACACAAGACGCTGTATTAATTATGAAGCTGTTGGCCTTGCTGGTTTCTTCCTGGCTAGCTCTGCTTTAAGCAATTACCCCATAATTGTTAATCTAAGTATGTTTCTTACCGGAGAGAGAGGTTTCCGGGCTTCCTACCCCAATGGCGTTACATCTCGACTCTCCTGTGTTTCTCCTTCCCAGAATCCTCCTCGACTCCTAGTCCCTACTATCTAGGTTTCCTATTGGCCAGACAGTGCTTTATTGACAAATAACAGGCAAATAACAGGACTTCCCCAACAGTAAAGGAAGGAACTGGACCACGCAGCTAGTATCCTAACTTTTCCTGGTCCTATTACAGGAGCTGGCTTCTGTCTTTGTTGCTCAGAATGCTGATAGAGCCAGTATGTGCAAGTTCCCAGGGAGCTACACAAAACAAAGCAACGTGAATTTATTGAGGAAGTACAACAGCGCACGGGATAAGGATGTTGTTGGTTACTTATTGTGGGGAATGACTTACAAGAGAAACCGAAAACCTAGGTTAGTCTCTGCAGCCTTTCGAGACCCAACAGGAACCCCAAAAGAGAAAGTGCTCCTCTCTCCTCAGTCCTGTGCACACCTGTGGCCACGCCCAAACGGGCATGGTCAGCATCACAGGTACCTAGATCTCTCCCTACATGAAGTTGTTAATCACAGAGCAGGAAGAAAACCCAAAGCACATTTCTTAGGGGAAGGCAAGAGTCAGACCATGTAGAAACCTTGCATCTGTTCTTAGTATGATCAAATGGACTGGCTTTGGCTGTGCTTGTCATTCACAGCTACAAAGAAAACATCACTGTTGCTCTGTCCTCAGCCAAAACACAGAATAAATAGGCAAAAAGATCTGGCACCCAGCTTTTCCTTGGAGACCGGGAGGGTTGGGCCACACATTCAACATTCTTCTTTCTCTGAGAGCTTCTCAGGGAAGTGGCTTCCATCTCACCTGTCTCAAAGCACTGATAAACGTATTCTAGAAATACACAGACAGTTTATAGCAAAGACAGTTGTTGGGACTAGTACAAAGGTAGAGAGATCGCAAGGGAAGTTCTTTTCTTGTACAAAGCTGATTCATCAACTGGGAAAGGCAACCGGAGTTCTTTTTACTTGTTTAAATGGAATGTACTGCGGTGAACACCATCACCAGAAGCAACTTAGGTCAGAAAGGGTTTATTTCATCCGGATAACAGTTCCTCCCTGAGGGAAGTCAGGGCGGGAACTCAAGGCAGAAACCTACAAGCAGGAACCAAAGCAGAGCCTCCTGGGAATACTGCTTATTGGCTTGTCTCAGCCCCACATTCCACAGTCTTCCCTATGTTACCCTGGACCTGCAAGGGAGGGGAGGGGTTACTGCTCACAATAGGCTGGGCCCTCCGCACCAATTAATAATCAAGAAAATGCCACTCAGGTGTACCTACAGGTCATTCTGAAGGACACATTTCCTTGACTGAGGCTCCCTCCCAAGTGACTCTGGTTTGCATCATGTTGCCAAAGAAGAGGGCATGCTAAGCAACCCATTTATTTATTATTTATTTATTCTTCCTCTGCCTCCTTTTTTCTCTCCTTTATTGGTGCCTATACTTTGTTAAAAATTAAGGGATTGAAAAACCGTGTAAAAATGTTTTATCACACTTTTCTTAAAGACCGGATTTCACTGTGTTTTCTTGGCCTAGAACTTGCTATACATAGCACACATAGGCTAGCTTTAATGTATTGATCTACCTTAGCCCTCCTAGTATTGCAATTACAGGCATGCACAACTATGACCAGCCACAATCCAATTGATTTATTTTTTTTAGATGAACAACAGAATCAAATGTCATTTGTTTTGTTTTTCAAGACAGAGTTTCTCTGTGTAGCTCTGGTTGTCCTGGAATTCCCTCTGTAGACCAGGCTGACTTCAAACTCAGAGATCCACCTGCCTCTGCTTCCCGAGTGCTGGGATTAAAGGCATGTGCTGTCACTGTCCTGAAATGTAATTACACTTATTTATTTGTTTGTTTTGAGTGTGGAGCTGCCAGAACCCAACTTGCAAGAGTCAGTTCTCTCCTTCCAGTAGATCCGTCCCAGGGATTGAACTCAGGTTATCAGAGTTGGTGACAAGCACTTTAACCTGCAGTGTCATCTCAGCAGCCACTAGAACATTATTCTTCACCAAAGAAAACACACCAGAAAAAAAAAATCATTGTATGAAAAGAGACTCAACAGCCAGACTTTGGTGGCACATGCCTTTAATCCCAGCATTCAGGCGGCAGAGGCAGGCGGATCTCTGTGAGTTTGAGGCCAGCCTGGTTTACAGAGTGAGTTTCAGGACAGCCAGGACTCTGTTACACAGAGAAACTCTGTCTTAAAAAAAATAGGGAAAAATGTAAATGGTCAGAAAGTTACACTGTGAGAAACAAAAAGAATAATCCCCCTCATACTGCAAAACTTTATGCTCAGATGAAGCCCACCTTTTAAGAGACAAATGCTGACCTATTTTGTTTGTTATTCTATCTCAGGAACAAAAGCCATGATGAAATTTGTGGTGCTTGCCACCCTCGGGCTAACTCTGCTGCTAGGAGCCCAAGCCATGCCTTCAAGTCGCCTTTCTTGCTACAGAAAGATGCTAAAAGATCGTAACTGTCACAACCTTCCAGAGGGCAGAACCGACCTGACGCTGATCGACACAAACATCCAGCATCATTTCTGGGATGGTAAAGGATGTGAGATGATCTGTTACTGCAATTTCAGCGAATTGCTCTGTTGCCCAAAGTAAGGACATGACATTTCAAAGTGTATTGCTACATTTGTAGAAAAGCCTCTTAAGAGATCATCTTTTATTGTTTGACATGTTTCCAAATGATTTATAAATAGGTATTTCCACCTTGCAGCACTGATATGAAGATAAATTTGCCAATGATTTCTCTACACATATCTTTAAAACAAGGACTTTGAAAAATTTACACAAATGTATATAACACAGTATGACCAACTTTAACATATTCAGTGCTATTCATATTTATTTATAGGGTTGTTTCAATTATTTTGTTTTATCATGATTTTAATAACAACCCAGGGACATATTATTTCAGTTTTTGATTCTGATTGTTGTAGAAATGCAACATTCAATGAAGGTTTATTATATGCCAATGATGGTAATTAAATCCTTCATAGGTATTAATAAATAAATTTCATCCACTCAATAGACTCACGGTTCAGTTACCGTCTTCTTCCTTTTTGTTGTTGTTTGTCTATTTGTTTGTTTGTTTGTTTGTTTAGGCAAGATCTCGACTATAGCTCAAGCTGGCTGGAACTTGTTACATAGACCTTGAACACTCATTGAATCCTCCTCCCTCAGCCTCCTAAGTGCTGGGTTCACAGCATGAGGGACCAGTACCTGGCTTAGAGCAGCTTCAGATGGGTTTGCTGAGATTAATTACGCTCTTAAGTAAACTCAAATCCCAGCTGTTTTCAGAACCATCCAAGTGTGTGGTGTTCTTGTTGAATAACTTTGGTAGAGTCACACAGGTGAGAAGGTTGGAGTTGGAGGCTAGTCTGGGCTACACAAGGAGACTGTCACAAAAACAAAGCCTAAATAAAAATGTGAAAAATAATACCTTAACCTGATAAATTCTACGTTCAATTCTTACAACAATAACAAACATCTGTTGGTAACATAAATAAACCTCAGAGTGGACATTGTAACTAATTTGAGAACTGATAAATATTTTTTAGATTAAACGAGTTAAGGAAGAGTATCAAGTAAGTAACTAGAACAGGAAATGTTGTTAAGTGCCATGGGAGGATCTTTCAGATCCATAAGTAAATTAATTGGAAATTAAATATGTTTAAAACAATTTACATTTTGGAAAATTGTGTTTGTTAAGTAAAAAAATAAACAATGAGAGGTTTAATCAAGTTTTAGCTCTTGATTTTAAGATTATTTTCCTTTGATTAAGGATTATTTCAAATACTATGATCTTGGACATTTAATACTGTTTCATGCTTCTAGGCAAACTATAAGGTAGAAAAGGCAAATATAAATCTCTTCCCAAGGGAAGGCAGATGGAAGTGTTGGGTGATACCTCACATAACTAGCTAAAGTTACTGTGGAGACAAAAACCTGATACAGACCCAGTTGGTCCCCAAAGTGAGGTTTCCAAAGCAGTGCCTGTTCAGTGCCCTCGGACCCCAGTGCAGACTGGCTGAATCAGCTGTGCAGGGCAGGCTCAGTCATTAGAGTTCAACAAGCCCTCAGGTGTTTCTTAAGCACAATGATATTCCAGAAGCACTGTATTACATGGTGCAAGAATGTGTGTCGGGGCTGGAGAGATGGCTCAGAGATTAAGAGCACTGGCTGTTTTTCCGGTCCTGAGTTCAAATCCCAGCACTGATATGGAGGCTCGTAATCATCTGTAATGAGATCTGGTGCCCTCTTCAGAATGCAGGCAGAAAGAACACTGTATATATAACGCATAAATAAATCTTTTTTAAAAAAACTTAAAAAAAATGTGTGTTAATTAACCCCATGAAACACATTTCTAAACTGTAGAAATTAAATGCCAATCAATATTAAATTTTTTATTGGATTATTAAGCCAATTTACTGCAGTGAGCTTATATTTATTTTCTGATACAACTTTGTGATTATGACTATTAAGGCATTGAAACAGAAGTGTAAATATACTGACATCATTTCTCCTCAACTTTGAGCTTTTTTTCCAGTAGCAACAGAATCACTTTGCAAAGTGTATTTCTATTAAGTCAGAATCATACTACTCTGTATATACAATTTTATACTATTCCATGCATTTTTTTCATGGTAACTTAAACCAGCTTTTCTACCCCAAAAGATAAGACTAGCTTTTAGGACACTTTTTTTTTTTTTTTTTTGGTTTTTACGAGACAGGGTTTCTCTGTATTGTTTTGGAGGCTGTCGATCCAGCCCAGCCTCGAACTCACAGAGATCTGCCTGCCTCTGCCTCCCGAGTGCTGGGATTAAAGGCGTGCGCCACCACAGCCCGGCCTTTAGGACACTTTTATATGCACAACATCTAGGAAGCTGAGACATTTAGATTAAATATAATAAAAAATATAATATATAAGAATTTAGTAAAATTGAAATATATTTTAAATAAATATAAGTACTTTAAATTTTAGTGGTTTTCTAAGAAATATCTACTGACCTGTCTCTTAGCCTAAATTTAAACTACATAACCCATCACATCAAAGTGAACTCTTTTATATAAGGTTTTGAAATTATCTATGTTTTCCTTTTATTCATAGACAAATAATAGCATAACATCAGTGGTGAGGGGGTGAAATAAAACAGTTACCTTTTGGTCTTTGTGGTTCCTGTGGGAAGTCCTTCTACACATCTTTTTGTATTTGATTTGCCTGCAATGAATAGTCGTACCTGAAACCCTGGAAAATACCTTCCGTTTTCAGCCCAGAAAGGTCTAACCTATGCCTTAGTTTTCAGCTGCGTTAACTGTGTTCTTTCTTTCAGAGATGTCTTCTTTGGACCGAAGATCTCCTTTGTGATCCCCTGCAACAGTCACTGAGGATCGCCACGCATTCCAGAGAACTCGGGGCGTTCCCCAGTTCCCACTAACTGCATCCGTGTAGCTACAGTTCCGATTTCCCATAGTGTGTACAAAAGCACAGCTTGTACAAAGTCTCACTCGCCCCCGAGTAAACCTGGCTAACACAGCAATAAAAGTTATTTCCACTCCACTTGTCTCTGTGGACGTTTGTTGGCACTGTTTAAAATGTTTGGCTAGAGGACTTTTATTTAGGAGGGGTTCACTGCATTCAGTAAGAGTTCTGTCCCCTAATGCGCAGATAACCAGAAGGCTGATTCGGAGAGAGAGCCAGATAACAAAATGAGCTTGCTGGAAGTTACACGTTTTGCATTAACAAGGAAAAGGAGAACCCATCTTTAAGTGCATTTTTTAATTTTGAACACCATTCAAACACACATTTGTATCATTAAGACCATGATGTATTTCCCGAAGTATATATATATATATTTTTTTTTTTGGATGAAAAAGTGCACTTTTGCAGGGAGATCTGGAGTGTGATTCTGTTGATAGATACATGACCGCATGCGGAGGCTTGGGTTTGAATCCCAGTTCTACATAGACTGGAAAGTGTTGTTTGGCATTAAATTCAGGGGTTGCCCCTTAATCAACCTCTGTCCTAATCGGCATTTACAACTCCACAGCTACCAACAGCTATTCCCTCACATTGGCTGCAGCCAGGCTGGAATTCCGTTCCCTCAGGCACCAACTAAAGGGAACTTTCTCTAGATCTCTCTCCCTCGATAGAACTCAGGATTCAGAGGTTGAGCTGAAATTCTGCTCACTCAAAGAGGCTGAATAGCAAGTAGCTAACCTTCCCTCCTAGCTCAGGATCCCGGAAAAAGGGGGTGTCCTCTGTTCAGGCTCCACTTATGAATCCTAGCAATACATGGTTCCTCCTTACCACTTCCTGCCAGCTAGTTGCTGACTCAACCTCCTGACCTCAGGTGAATTTTATTTAATCAGACAAATGTAACATGTCTTTGCATCATTAAACAAATATTCCACAGTATAAACAAATGTAACACATCTTAATATTCCACAACAGGAATATAGTGGTACATACCTTCAGTCCCAGCACTGAGAAGGGGTGGCTATGTAGTAAGCTTGAGTCCAGCCTGGGCTACATGAGACCTTATTTAAAAAAAAAAGAAAGAAAGAAAGAAAAAGAAAAAAAAGGACATTTTCTAATTGTGAGGAGACAACTTTGGGTTTTAGCCTTACATTTTAAAATGTAAGTGTTGACTCACAATAACCAAGAAAGTTAATTTCAGAAATTTCCATTATATACAAACATATGTCTGGTGTTGTTGGTGCTTGCCTTTAATCCCAGCACTTGGGAGGCAGAGGCAGGTGGATCACTGTGAGTTCGAGGCCAGCCTGGTCTACAGAGCAAGTTCCAGGACAGCCTCCAAAATAATACAGAAAAACCCTGTCTCGAAAAACAAAACAAAACAAAACAAAACAAAAAAACCATACTACATGCTGGCTAGGTGCTAGCCATTATTAAGATTCCTGGGCTATTAGTAATGAATAAGATAGACACGTCTTCTCTAAACATGTGTTCTAACAAAGCTGTCATCTTGAAAAAGTTTTTCATAAACATGAAGCCTGCTATAGGGAAACAGGACTGCCAGGGAAAGTTTGAGACGCAGTCTCTTGAAGGCAGCTTAGGAGATACCATCTTGTGACAAAACAGTAGCACTTTTCATTGACAACTACCTTGGAGGTCCTGTTTCTGAGACCCATCCAGAATAGTAAGAAGTGTTACCAGAGTGAGTCAAACAACTTTGAGGTAACCTCAATTCTGTTCCTCTTAAAGAGTCTTTACATATAACTGTCAGAATATGTTTGCAAATATCATGACATCATTAAAATGCATGATGAAATTCTACTGTAAAAAAAGTAAATCAGTGGGCTGGAGAGATGGCTCAGCCGTTAAAGGCTAGGCTCACAACCAAAAAAAGTAAATCAGTTATCTAAATAGCATGTGATTTTTAATTGGCCTTTCTTCACTGACTGAACTAGCAATAAAACCAGACTCAACAAGGGAAGACTTACCTACTTTCTGGACCAGTACATCAGACAGCTAAATAAAGAAAATCATCAGTAATTGTTTATATAGCATGAATTCTAATTGTTCTTAATAATAAAAACCTAAAGTCGGATATTGGGGTTAATGTGAAGATCGGAGAAGCAAAGTGACCGGCCACTAGAGAGTTCTCATGTCTACTAACGCTCAGACCATAGGGGCGAGCCTGTCCTCAGACAGCATCCTCAGACTGTACTGTTCCTCAGACTGCAGTGAGCTCGTGTCTCCGCCCGCCTTACACTCCTCTCTCTGCCCAGCCATATCTCTCCTATCTCCACCTCCCTAGTGCTAGGATTAAAGGTGTGGGATCCCAAGTGCTGGGATCGCTTTTGTGTGAGCCCTGTTTCTCTTTCAGACTGGATCAATTTCGTGTAGCTCAGGGTGGCCTTGAACTCACAGGGATCCATCTGCCTCTGCTGGGATTAAAGGTGTGTGCCACCACTGCCTGGACTGTATGGCTAACTAGTGTGGCTAGCTCTGCACTCTGATCTTCAGGCAAGCATTTTTTTATTAGATCACAGACAAAATATCACCATGTCTTCCATTTTCTGTGTTTTTTTTTCTGACAGGTAGACATTAATAATCCATTGTCTATAGAAGTGGCACATTGGAGCGGTGGTGCCACATGCCTTTAATCCCAGCACTTGGGAGGCAGAGACAGGCGGATCTCTGTGAGTTTGAGGCCAGCCTGGTTTACAAGAGCTAGTTCCAGGACAGCCTCCAAAGCCACAGAGAAACCCTGTCTCCAAAAACAAAAAAAAAAACAACAACAAAAAAAAGTGGCACATCAGAATGAGGGGCGATGTGAAGCAGGAAGCCCTTTAAATAACATTTCCTTACCTCAATCAAAACCTGATGAAAAGGACACCATTTGAGTAAACCGGAAGACGGGGTGGCCCACACCAGTCATCTCAGCCCTCAGGAGGTAGAGGCAGGAGACGCAGAAGTTCAAGGTCATCCTCAGTTGTACTATTACAAAATAAACAACAGAAAAAGAAAAGAAAAAAAGAGGTCTGGAGAGAGATGGCTTAGCAGTTACAAGCACTTGCTGTTTTTTCAGAGGACCTGGGTTTGAGTCCTAGCAACCATAAGATGGCTCACAATCATCTGCACCTCAGCTCCGGATAATCTGATACCCTATTCTGGTCTCCTAGGGAACGTAGGCTTGTAAGTGTTGCATAAACATATATGCATGTGAATATTTATTAAACATAAGGAAAAAATACTATCTGAAAAAGAAATTCAATGACATTAACTGAATATATTATAAAACCATCTCTCTCTCTCTTGATCTTTAAAACCTAAAGCAAAGACACCCACAGCTAAACACTGAACTGAATTCTTGGAACCCAGTGACAAAGAGTGACTGATGAGCAAAGGGGTCAAGACTGGGCTGGTAAAACCCACAAAGACAGTTGACTGAACAAGGGGGAGCTCTTGGACCCCAGACTGATGGCTGAGAGGCCAGCATGGGACTGAGCCAGACCCCCTGAATGTGGGTGTCAGTGAAGAGGCCTAGGCAATCTATGGAGTCTTGGGTAGTGGATCAGTATTTTTCCCTGGCATGCAAATGGACTTTGTGAGCCTATCCCACAATAAGGGATGCTCTCTCAGCCTGGATACTTTGGGGAGGGCCTAGGCCCTCCCTGGAATGAAATGACAGACTCTAGAGATCCCCCATGGAGGGCCTTACCCTCCGTGGGGAACAGAGTGGGGATTGGGTGGGGGGCTGGGGGGGCTGAGGGGGAGAGCGGGTGTGGAGGGGAGGGAGAGAGAGCTGGGACTGACATGTGAAGCAAGCTTGCTTCTAATTTAAATATATAATAAAAAATTTAAAAAACAATCAAACAAACAAAACAAATGTAATAAATAAATAACTCTTAAAAAAGAGAGATAATGATAATGTAGAAACATTACTGAACTGGCTATCTTCTCAAAATGATGCTTCAACAGCTGGTTAACCATAAAAAGAGCATTATTCATCACCATGTTCTATTTAGAAATGGAGTCAAGCTTGACACCAAAAGTAAACCCTATATATAAAATATTCTATATCCGGCTGGAGAGATGGCTCAGTGGTTAAGAGCACTGGCTGCTCTTTCAGAGGTCCTGAGTTCAATTCCCAGCACCCACACAGTGGCTCACAACCACCTGTAATGAGATCTGGCGCCCTCTTCTGACCTGAAGACAGTATTACATGCAGGCAGAACACTGTATACAAAATAAAATTTTAAAAATCTTTTAAAAATGCTCACTATATAGCCGGGTGTTGGTGGCGTATGCCTATAATCCCAGCACTCGGGATGCAGAGGCAGGCGGATCTCTGTGAGTTCGAGGCCTGCCTGGTCTACAGAGCAAGTTCCAGGACAGCCTCCAAAGCCACAGAGAAACCCTGTCTCGGGAAAAAAAAAGTTCCATATCATTGATAAGTTTGTATGTAAATCAGAGGCTAAAACTATGGTTTGGCAGTTAAGAACACTTGTTCTTTCCAGGATCCGGGGTTCAATTCCCAGCACCCAGACACTGGCTCACACCTGCCTGCAACTCCAGTTCCAGGGGACCCTATGCCCTCTTCTGGCCCCTGAGGACACCTACATACACGCATGTGGGTTCACAGATAGACAAGGAAGTACAACAATGCACATAAATAAATAAATAAATAAAAGTAAATAAAAAATTGAGATCATATAAATCGAAGCTACAGTCAGATACTACTTCACATCCAGTAGCATGGCTTCAGTTATGGGGAAAAGCACAGGCCAGGTGTGGTAGTACAAACCTTTACTCTCAGCACTTGGGGCAGACTGATCTATGTATTGAATTCCAGGACAACAAGAGCTACATGATAGAGGAACTCTGTCTCAAAGAGAGGGAGGAAGGAGGGAGGGAGAGACAGACAGACAGGGAGACAGAGACAGACAGACAGTGTATGTAAGTGCTAGCAAATTTTCAGCCATTATGTCAATAATGTCATCAATGTCCCAGCAACCTGGAAACTTTTGACAGTACGTCAAAAAGTTAAATAGAGAATTATTCTGAGTTAGCAATTTTACTGTTAGGTG